TCCACCTCCCTCTCAGTGCCAGCAGGAATCTGGGACTTTCTTTTCTATCCAGCCACCTCTTTTCCCCAAAACTGTAGGAACTTACTGGCTCAGATAGCACCCGAGGCAAGTGTTGATGCCCAACAAATCCACAAGTGATTACATGGAGACTGGTGGTCAGCCAGACACGGGGAACTTAATGGAGCTGGGTTAAAAAGAGAAGCTGTGGATAGGGTCTAAGAACTCCTTACAGAAGGGGTGGGGAAAAAACCCCATAATTAAGCACAAGAGAGTCAGGATGTGAGTGTTGTTTTTTATGCCTCTTACACACCTCAGGTCTTCCATGGTTCCAAATGATAGTAAGGCTTAAAGATTTTAATTTCAACCAGCCAACATGCAGCCTGCAGCTGTTCATCTGAATGAGATGAGGAAAGACAGGCTGAGGATTTGGAAGATAACTGAGGATGACTGGATGCATGACTTCAAATGGGAGATTTGTCTTACCCATAAGATGGAAGGCAGCATTGGTAAATCACATTTAGGCTTCCTAAGCCCAAGGTTTGGTGCATCTACAGTAACAATGAAAAAAATTATATTCTTCCTATATGTATTGTCACTGCCAGAAAATTCTCCATTTGAACAAGTCCTTATGCAAAAGTATAGACATGCTTTGCTGAGAAGGCTATGGAATATGTTCAAGCTCCTGGAAGGTGAATGCAGGCTCTGGGGCTCAAGCTGCACATAACTCAGTAACCGTGTTAAGGTGTAACTAGATTAGAAAGCCGTTCTGCCACCTTGCAATTTACTGTTTCCCAGGGAATTAGATCAATTAACAAAACAAGCCATGATAAAAGATTATTCCATGGGATCAATTATGGGGGCTCTGTTCCTTTTTCTGACATTCATTGTTCTGGCCAGGTCTGAATCAGGTCACCAACTTCATGAAAAAACTGCCTGGTTCAGTCAGTCTCACCTCTCTATATTGTTATGGATTGCACAACTGCAAAACCAGCATTCCCTTAGTAAGGATAAGTAAAATAAAGGGGGGAAAATAAGCCCCAATAATCTGGTTTTTTAGTGGTTTACAGAAGGAGAATAGCTCATCTTCTTTCACAGTGTTTTACCTGCATGGTGAAGAGAAACACCTCACACTTCTGCTCTGATTTCCTTCAGGGCTTGCATTATCATAGGTTCTATGGCTTTGACATTGGAAAAGCAGCAATACTTTTCCACTTAGCTTAATCTTAGTTACTGTTTTTTCTGTGGCAGCAGTACACAGTGCAACTTGGGAAATGTCAGGAGGCAAAAAACAGTAAGAAGGCATTTGAATCATATCTCTGCCTTGATTCCCAGCATTAAGCCAGGCAACTTCTTCACCTGCCCCATGGGTTGCTTACTTCTTATTCACAAGCTGAGACAGAAAGAATTGATGGCAGCTATGTGCTGGGAAGAGATACTGATTGTTGTCAAGCAGGAAATCCAAAAAAACAACCTAAACCACCTTTAGTGCAGACTTATATAATGGTAAATAGGAATAACAACATCATCCAGATGAGCGACTAACCATAGGGACAAATCTTGATGTTTCAGCACACTTTTATTCAGTTCTTATTCAGGCAGATTGGTAAAGCCTGATAAAGCTTCATAAGAAAGACAGAATTAAGTGTATTGCAAGAAGTAGGGGCCTGGGACCTGATTCTTTGACCATAGACCAATTTCAGCGTAATGGCAGCTGATGTCAGGGTGACAAGCTCTGCAAGAAGACGTAATATATTTTATTAAACTGACTGACATATGCCAACTGAATTATGCTCGCTTTATACAGGCAAAATTGCTCCTACAGTCTTAGCTGGAAACTCTGGCCTTCACTCTGCTCCCATTTACACTGATGCAAGTCAAAGGTAATTTCATTATAACTAATGTAAACGCATTACAGACAAGGCAATTACACCTGTAAGATATTGGTGTGAGCTGAACCCTTTTCTCTGACATTTCTACTAATGTTTGAAATGAAATAACGAAGTAAAATGTGGTATTTTTTAAAATGTTAAACCTGTGGATGAGAGACCTGTGTGTACAAAAGCACTGAGCATTGGTAAATCTGTTAGATTTAGGAATTCACAAGTGTCACTTAGAAAATACCAGCGGATAAATTATGGAAAGGGATTGCAGGTAAAACTATCTCAGGAAAGGGGGAAAGCAATCCCCTAGTATCATGCCAGTCATATGGGGAAAGGAGTTCTTTTGCCAGTGGAGTTTGTAAAGGCTTCCCAAAGGGAGGAAGCCATATTTGCAAAAGAACTGTGCTGTCTGTGCCTGTTTAGGCTTCTTTTTGGCAGAGCGCTCTGCCACTGCGGTGGTCCCTTGGGCAACTGGCCCAGTGGATGAGAAACGGCAGGGTACGTGCTCGCCTCCGCACTGAGCCCTTTCCTTCTCTTACGAAGGGAGGACGGGGAGGAGGAGTGAAACCATCTGTGCTTCCCAGTCCCTTCTGGTTTGGGGGGATCCTTTATTGAGCCCCTCTAATATTTACAGACAAGTTGTGACAGTGATTAATGAATCATCAAGAAAATTGTTTGGCCTTTATTTGGTTTGAGTAGTCAAGGAACCATAGGTTTTACTAGATATACCTCATAGTATTAAATCACTATATGAAAGAAATGTGAAAAGGAAAGTTATGTTTCTGTCCCCTGATTTCTAATCCATCAGTTTTCAGGTTGAGATCCTTTCTTGCAAGCTGTGTGAGGAGAAGATGCTGTTCTCGTGACCCTTCATCCTCATCATATCATATATTATTAATGAAGAAAGACCTCAGCATTCAAGTTCTGCATAAGCCTGCACTATGTTGATTTTTTTCTTTTGTTTAAAGAAAACATAAATTGACACCTATAGCTCTGCTTGGGTTGGGAGTGAAGGGAAAGGGCTTGTAAATGAAACAAGGCAGTGGTTCAGCAATTAGAGCCCAGGATTGAAAGTCAGCAAGGTTACAGTTGTGGGGGAGATTTGCTGTTGTTTGTCCTGATGAAGTTCCTCCTAAATGAGGTGATTATTGTAGCTGTCAGGAATGAAAAGGTAGGACACATTGATTTCATCCCCACTGCAATCTCCAGGACGCGCCAGTACCGAGCAGTCAATATGAATTGCCAATTAACAAAAAAACAATATTGGCAAGTCGGCAGTTTGAGAAAAAACTCCCTCCAGCCAGTGCATAAAACTCCTGCCATTCAAATCACCATCCTCGAGCAAAGGCATTAGCAAACCTGCCCAGAAAGTCAACAAAGATGAGCTTTTTTGGTGTAGCTGAATAGCAAATAGCGGAGCTGAGAGCCTGTCTGCACAGGGGAAATGTAGCAGAACAGCTATACGGGAACACACTTCAAGTGCACACCCTATCCGGAGATAAAAATCACTTTACTTTGGAGTAATTATTCTGTTATGAAAACACATTAGTTATTCAGGAATAAAATATCTTTTATTTCAGAATTAAAGTGCCCGTGCTCTTATTCTGCCATTCTGCTAATGATAATAGATACAGCCGTTGATTATAATAAATAGAGATTCTTCCACAATAGCTACTGTGGAAATCTTCCCCTTGTAAAAAAGCCCTAGGAATACCATGCTTCCAATTACCTTGGATTTCAAATACAGTTCATATAAATGGATACTGTTGACATACGTACAGATTTCAGCAATTTTCATGCAATTAAAATTGTTAATCTGCAGTTTGGGGCTGACGAAACAACTCCAGATTAGCAACCAGGAATAGCGTCTTTGACACTCTGGAGCGAACCTGGTCTAGAAAACACCCAGCAGCTATTAGTACCTGACTATTAACGCACTTGGTAAGGAATTCCTGCCTTTGCAATAACAAACTTGGGTCTTGCGCGGTGCTTTTAACAAGCTCTCAAAGGACTTGAATGGAGAGCTATCATTATCCCTCATCTGCAAATGAGGAAAGTGAGGCAGCTGCTGTAAGATGATTTGCTTGATGTTGCCCAGCAAGCCAGTGAAAAAGAACCTTTTGCTTTCTAACCCTGAACATGGCCTTTCCTTTCCTAAAGCAGATGATGCTACGGCAAGAGACGGAGCGCATCGATGGTAAAGCAAGGTCTACGGGCAAGACATGGGCTGGCCTTCAGCGAGCATTGGATGTTGGAGGTCTGCCACTTCCCAGCCAGTTTGTGAACTGACTCCGATTTGTCACCTCCAGCTGTGCAAAAACCACAATTCAAAAGCAAAACGCCAACTAGCTCAGGTTTACTTTCAGAGCTGACTTCAAAGATCACCCGGGCTGTTTCAGCTTGAGTCACCTCACTGCCTTCCCAGTGAAACCTGGGGAAAACTGTTTTTAAAAACATCGTAACTTGAAGACATTAAATTAAGTGACGCCTCAGCAACCCCTTGTAGACGTACTTGCAATCAGAATCCGCTCGAGGCTATGGCACGCAGCTAACATTTAGCATTAGCTAGTTCGGAGGACACGTTACTCTAAGTAGCTAGTGCGTTTTGTTCGTTTTAAACCCTATAAACGTTTAAACCCTTCGCCGTCGGGTCCAGGGAAGGCCCGGGAGCTCGTCAGGCGCCGTGAGGCGGCGGGCCCAGGCGGCCCTGGTCCCTCGCCCTCCCACCCTGTTTCCTTGCAGCTTCCAGAGCGAAGGAAGATTTCTGGGCACAGCCCTCTTTGCAGATGTATCTCGTCTGGTCCCTAATTTCTTAATCTGTTAATCTAGTTGAAGCGCCTTTCGATGTGGGGTGTGTTGCGCCGTCGAGGGCGCCTTTCCGCCGACTCTAGGCTGAGAAAAGCAGAGGCCGGAAGCGCCGCCATAAAAACTACAACTCCCAGAAGGCTCCGCGGCGCCGCCGCACGCTGCACGGCAGCTGGACGCCGCGCGCCCCGCCTCCCTCGCCTTCTATTGGGTGACAGGCCCGCAGCTGCCCGCCTCCTCTCTTCTGATTGGCTGCGCCGCGCCAGCACGGGTGGCTGCCCTGTGTTTGAGGAGGAGGAGGTGGGGGGGTGCAAGATGGCGGCGGGCGAGGCGGCGGGGCGCTACCGGAGCACCATGAGCAAGAGCAAGGACCCCTCGGGGCTGCTCATCTCTGTCATCAGGTAGGGGCGGCGCGGACACCCGCTCCGCAGCCTCCCGTCCCAGCCTGCAGGGCCGCCCTGGGTGCTGCGTGGGCCCCTGGGGGTGAGACCCAGGGGCGTGTGTGGGCCCTGCCGTGCTGTGGGGGTTTTCCCGGGCCGGGCCTCCAGAGCCTGGGGTCTTCCCAGGGCCCTGACAGCGGTGGGGAGGCCTCAGTGCTGGAGCAGGCCTTCTCCTGAGGGGTGTCCTGCCGTCCTCCCCGCCTGCCCGGGTCCCCTGCCTCTGTTCCCCTTACTTTGCTGTGCGCTGGGGTCAGAGGAGCAAGCCCTGCAGTTAGCCCTAGTTTAATGCCATGCAGGGAAGGTCAAGGCACCATCTTCTTACTGCTGTAGAGTCCACAGTTGAACCCCATCCACAAACACACAGCACCACTGAGTGAGATATGGCTGGTTGGAAAAGCTGTAGGACTAGGAAGTCCTGTGTGCAGACCCCATGCTGTTTTAGGATGGGAGTGTGAGAAAAGCACTAGTTCTCCTGAGTCAAACTGTCTTGCAGGGGATGGAAAGAAAGCAGTTGCGTTTAGTCATGTTTAGACTATTGATTTTTGTCTGCCCTTATTCCTGAACTCTCTTCTCTGCTAGAGGATGATTCTGTGATATACTTGGAGCCAAGCACGGACCTGAATTCACTTCACTGGTTTCTCTCTGTGCCTTCTTCAACTGCTTGTAAATCTCTTCTATGCTGCTTGTAACGAGTGGGTTGGCAGCTTATTTCCCACACTGAAGCTTTTAAATGTTGGCCTTATGCACACCCTTTAAAGCAGGTGTCATACTAGTATGATACTGTGAGTTGTAATTAACTTTCAAACTTTGGTTCCGACTTAAATGTCTTTGCTAGAAACTATGGTCATTCTGTTACTTGGAGAAGTTATTGTAGCAGTAGTTCTGTATCTAGGACATGTTATGATTTTAGAATCCTCTATGAATGATAATGTTTAGGACAAAATTCTGTTCTTTTTCATTACGCTGAAAACTGGTCTTTCAGATCTTGCGAAACTTGAGGTAGATGGTGGCTCTGAAAGAAGCAGCTGGTTCACAGAACTGCTTAGCCTTTCCAGGGTCGTGACTGCGGTCTATGAATCGTATCTTAATAGGTAATAAAGGATCACACTGAACAATGAATGAAAAGTGATGCTTAACAGAGGCTGTGTCACCTGACTTTTCCATTTCAAGTATGTGTGGTTCATTAGTTTTATAAGAAAAACTGTTACAAACCCAGATTTGTTTAGGTTGGAGTTTACAAGTATACATGTATGCAGATGGAGAAAAGTGTACATAGGTATGACCTCATATAAACATGAGGTATGACAGTGGTAGTAGTGTACTTTGGCAACTTTTTATTTTGTGTATAAGAAATGTTGAATGGGAAAGGGGTGGGACGCTAATACCCAAATATGTGACTATTAAAATGAGTGGTGATCCTGCAGATTTTAAATTGAGGCCTACACCCGCTCGTGGGTGCAATTATTCATAAAATTGCATGGACCGTTTGTATAATAAATACATGATTAGTTGTGAAAACCTGAAAAAATCGGGCCTCTCACCTGGATCTTGAGTTTTTGCTGGGCACTTACACCTTATATTTGGGACAAGGATAAATAGCGTGGATTTAAACTGTGTTGTGCTTAGTGTTCCTTTATCAGCGTCAAATTTGAATAAGTTGGAGAGGCAGGCATGGTAAGTTGTAGCTAGACAACCCAAATTTAGAGAAAATACAGTAATTTATAGACAGTGGAAGAATAAATAATATACATGCATTGATTGCTGTAGCATTTTCTGTAGTAATCATCTTTTTTTTTTTTTCTCTCTCATGTTTCCTATAATTTCCAAGAGTATTTTAAGGGCCTCCTTTTGTATCTCTGTTTTAATAAATCTTAACTTGTTATTTCGTTTATAATATAAAATGAGAGTGAGCTCATGGTACTGTGTTCTCCAAATAAGAAATCATGTTTGTCTAATAATCTTTGGTTTGCAGGCACTGATATCTTGGCTAGTTTAGGTCCACTGTTTAGACACAACATTGAGGTTATCGATGTTATGAAATTAAAATTATTCAATAGAACAGCCTGATAACTAAACCTCCAGAATTTAATTAGAACTTGCTTTGGATGTAGAGATTCTTTGCAGAGCTTGAAGTGTCATGTGGAGCCAGACCATGAAAACCTGAAAGTAGAACTGATTGCAAAGGAAGGAAAAAGTGTTAATAATATTCATTTTTCTTAAGGTTAGCCAAGTACAAAAAGCAAATGCCGTGGAAAGGAATTTAAATCACTTTCTTCTGTATGTTGTTTTTGTATAGTAGTTCATATAGGATGAACTTGCCAAGCAACAGGTGAATTTTTTTTCTGTTTTCTATGCTCATAAAATAGCATTGCAAACAAATTTAGACCTGGGTGGGTTAAATGTATCTTTCTTATAACTTTACTCAGCTTCAGAAAAATACTACAAATCTTAATAGTAGACTGTTGGTTTGAAATGTAGCAAAGTTTTCTTTTCTTGATAGCTTTACTTCCAAAACATTTATGTATAGAGTCTTCTGCCAATCCTTGTAGTTTTACACTTGCATTTCCCTGTTTATTTAGAAGGCTATTTATTTCTCTCTTGTTGCTGTGGGAAAGGCTCATAAAAGGAAACAGTGTGTGAAAAGTAACAAAACTTTGACTACATTATTCTGCTGTAAACAAACAAAACCAGAGGAGCTTCTTCAAATATTATGGTATTTTACTTGGTTATAGCAAAGAGGGTTACGTCTTTCAAAAAGAAACATTGTTTAGGTCTGCAAAATCTATTCAGTGTGCTTGTCTATAAAATGCTTTGAAATGTGAAGCTGAAAGGCCTTTTATAAATATAAATTATTTTATTAATGAAGGGATAATTTTTGATATTTACTCAAGCTCAGTAGCTGTCTTGCAAGAGACTGAATAATTTACTTTCCTCTGATACTAGGATTCTTTTACTTATTTCACTGGACTTCCCAGGAGAAAAATTGTCTCACTTTCAGGGAGCGTATTTGGGGTCAAATCCTTGACAAAGTTTAACGTATTATAGCAGCACTGAAATCAAGTAAGAAATAGTATTTTATGGGAGCTGGGGCTCTGGTCTAAAATCAGGGTGCTGCTGCTTCAGGAAGGTTTATTGCATCAGTAGCAGTGTAGTTTTCATCACTGTTGTTCATCCCAGTCTCGGTATAGTTGGGAAATTTTGGGTTGTCCCTAATCTCTACGGTGTTGCTTTTCAGCAGCTCTGAATGCGGAAAACTCTGAGATGAAGGAAGACCCAACAGGAAAGACCGTCCCACTTTTGTTGTCTTTTCTGTCCCTGTGAAGTGTCAGTTTTTCCTGTTGTGTTGGGGAACGCATTTTTTCTTTGGGAGTTGTTTCCTGTAGGAGGATTCGTGTACTGATTGAATTCACCTTGGTTTTCCAGTTGTTGCCAAGAATAGGGAATAAAGGCAGTCTCAAGTACAGACTACCTTGGAAGAAGTTTTTTCCTGAGCAGAAGGAGATGTGCTGCTCAGTAGAGCACAAAACTGAAAATAAACGATGTGCAGTACTGACCCAGGACAGGACTGATCCATTTGGAAAGAGCCAGGAGCTACCAGGGGAGCTGAGTTACGAGGTAGTGTAGTCATACCCTTGGCAGTGCTGCTGAAGTTCTTGGGCATAGTTTCCCTCTTGTTTCTCCTAAAGGAGAGCTAGAGGGTTTGTTCATAATAATAAATCTTGTAGAAGTAAGGAGTGTTTGGGAAGCTTAATGAATGTTTGCAAAGTCTGCTATTAAAATCCCCACCTTTGTTGTGGCTCAAGGAAGCCTTCCTTTTTTCCCTGTGCCTTTAGGGGATATGACAGTAAGTTCGGTTTGCCCTTGTCCTCGCATTGTTGAGAAGAAATGACCATTATTTGCTACAAGAAGACATAACTCCTGGGATTGTGGCTTCTAGAGTAGAATATTGGATATTGGGGCTTTACAGCTTCTGTCCCCATGCTTCTGCTGGATGGTCAAAAGTGCAGCACTTGCACTCATGCCTCAGCACACCCACTTTCAAAACATGTGCAAATTCCTTCACATATGAGAGAGATTCTTTAAGTTCCTTAAATAAAAGGTATTTTGTAAGGTCAAAATGTTGTCACTGGAGACCAGGAGCTTTTGTTGTAGAAGTCTAATGCTGATCGCATGGGCCTTGGCAATGTCTTTTTAAAAAAATAGTGCAAAGAATGGAGAAAATTCTGCTCGTCTGCTGGAGGACAACTTGGGAAATATTTTTTTTTTTTAACTTTCAGAGGACAAACACGTGTATGTACATTGATTTTTCTTAACCTTTTGTTTTGTTGCTAGCTGGTTGAAGCAGCTTTTGTACTCTGAAACAAGCAATGTGGCATTTAGCAAATGCTATTTTTTTGAGAGATCTTGTCAGATTTTTAATTGGTGAATGTGTCTGCCTTTTATATTTATTGTTAGGTGTTTTTCTTTCCAATTAAAGGTTGCTATTTTTTAAAACTGGCCTTTAATAGCTGCTTTAATTGGGAGAAAACAAACTTTAGCATTGACTCCATAAGACCTCATTGAAATCTTTGTGCTCAGCTTCCACACAGGCAAACACATATGACAGATGTCAAGGAGAACTAAAAGCGAGGCAAGATATAGTGCATTTCCTGCTTTCATGTCTGCAGAAGTTGAAATTACAGGCAAAAAACCTTGAACATATTTTTCACAAGTGGAATTCTTTTTCTTTTTAATGCTTTTTGGCCATTATTTTCATTACATTTACAGTGAACTTTGTTAAATGGATTCTTACTAAAGGCCTGGCAATTGGTTTTTCTCTTTCTGTCTAAAGCACTGGAACTGATATCCCTGTCTGTGATGTAGAGTGAGAAAGACGGATGTATAGCTGTTGCCCTTGTTACATTTGGGAAATAGCTGCTACAAGAAATAAAGCTGAGTTACTCTGATCTGTATGTACTGTC